CCTGAGGGAAGACCTCATTGTTCTCTACATTTACTTCTAGGGAGGCTGTAGCATGGTCAGTGTTGGTCTCTTTTCTCAGATGACAAGGATGTAAGGAAATGGTCTCAAGTTGTGCTAAGGGGCATTTCAATTGAACATTAGAAAGAATTTCTTCATGGAGAGAATTGTCAAGCATTGAAATGGGCTGTGCAGGAGGTGGTGGTATCCTCGACTCTGAAGGTATTTAATAAATATTTGTACTTGGCACTAAGTCACATGTTTAAGTGATGGGAATCAATAGGTCAAGTTGATGATTGAATTTGATCTTGAAAGTCTTTTCCAACCAAGATGATTCTATGATTAATTTAAAAGGTAATAGCTTTCCTTATGCAGAAAGCTATTCTTTAGGCATGACATACAATAAGAGAGGCCTGAAAAGCCCAAATGCTTACTGGAGTCATTATGCCTGCAAGAGGCAGCACTGGAATCCTTGAAGTGTGTGGAGGAAGGGCTTTGAAAAACTAGAGCATGCCCTTTATATAACTCTGAGAGATTTCTCCATGGACCTCTTACCCTCATCTGTCTGAAAGTTAGTGTAAAGATATGAGGTTAAACTTTCAGTTTAACTATTACCCCCAGTATTTGTTAACCTATCTGTTCTGCTATTAAAGACTCATCATAGCTGTCATCTGTGAACTATCTTCTCATTTGCACACCCTAGAATGCTACTGAGAATATCACCTGAGATAATTAGCCTCTCTCAGTCGGAGTAAAATCATTTTGTATGTGCCAACAGATGAGAGCAGACACGTTTGTAGTCAATGTGGAGCAGCTAAGAGAAAAAACTGGAAAACATCTGTACAGGGTTAAAACCACAGTCCATATAATATAGTTTCCTGTTAATGGTACTGGGTGATGCAATAGCATATAAGAAAGATAATGAAAATAGGACAGGTTTATAGTGATGTTTTCCACAATATTTTTTTAGCTTCAGAACTCTGTGATTTAGAGGTTACCTCTGCCAAAAGCATTGCCTTTGAGTTCAAAGTTACTATTCCATATACATATTCAACTACTACACTGGGGAATACTTATGGTTTCTTCAGTGATGCTGATATTTGATAGTAGGCCAAATCAACCTGAAAGAAGATGAGAAGTAAAAGGTACTTTCAAAAGCAGAACTATAATACTTCAAATGAAATGAATGTTATCATCTGATGCTTTTGATAATCTGCTTATGAAACAAAAATGAAGTATCCTAATACAACTCTTCCTGGAACGACATGTAGCCTCATGGCAGAATGACTGTTTGACTTGTAGTTCTGTAGAAAGTACTGAGGCAATAGAAGTCACCTTGAGAGCAGATGGAACATAATCAAAGATTAATGGCAAATTTATGATCCTTCTAAGAACAGAAGCCAAATAAAGTCAAATTGAATCATAAATTTAGAGGCTTTACAGGATCAGAACATGTAAAATAGTCATTATTGGTAAAATAAATTTGGCTAACATGACTAAGAAAGAGAGCATTCTGAAAGGCTGCAGACTGAGTTCTGAGCAGTTTTAATAAGCAATTATAGAATTACAGTAGTAAGAAATGGAGCACAGTAAAAGCTGTAAGCCTTCTAAGATTTAAAAAAAAAAAAAAAAAAAGAGAGAGAGAAAATTGTCTATCTGTGTAGTCTTTGGGAATTCTGAGTAAGATATGGAATAGCAGTAAATCCCTCTGTCATAGAATAACTTTACATTTCCTGTGTAGTTCTATGTGCAGATTTAACAGTTTATGTGAAAAGTACTATGGAGGTATAGGATCATAGGATCATTTAGTCATGTAGCACTTGGGAAAAAAAAAAAAAAATTCTCAAATTTTATTGAAAGAAAGCTGTAAAGAAATTCTTCTATAAAATATTGCTGAGATGTGATGTTTGTCTGTAAATGTTTATCAGAGTGTTCATTATAGATTGCACTAGCAGTAAAGATATAGTACCTTTGAGTATGCCAGCCAAAATTGTCAATTTCTCCATGCCTAGTTCTTTTACATTCTAACTAAAACTAGAAATTTCAGACTTAGCTGCCTTCACATAACCTTGTTTTAGGTGGTGAGAGTCTGTAAACAGTAACAAATGGGAAGAAAATGAAACAGGAAATGAAGCATTAGTACAGTGTTTTATAAATATCCTTGAGGTGTTGCATTGCAGTACCAGGTATTGCATTAGAAATAAGAAATGAAAGAAGTTCAGAAAATATACTGAAGGATTGTAGCTGCAGCAAGTTTGAGGGACAAATGCATTTTCATCTAGTATTTCATAACTATCATGTCAATTGAACTTTTGTGTTTTCAGATTACTGATCTGTAACTGGTGGTTTTGTTTATATTCATTTCATTATTATCAAGGTGAGAATAAGAAATTGTTCTTATTTTAATTTAGTAATTGCATAAGAAAGAAGACTTGAAAATCTGGAGTCCTTATTCTATAAGTGAACAGTTTGATTGCAATGAGAACTCTGTTCATATAAACAGAACTTAATATAGAAATGCTATCTTTGCAGAAACATCATCAGGATCAGAGCTGAAGTGATGGCAAGCTGGAAACAGGCAGTAATGAGCTGAAAAGAAGGAGCATGAAGGTAAAAGTAAGAAAATATGCCTACATTAGACTAATAATGTACATACTAAGCTGCATTTAATTAAATTTTCTATTTATTTGAAAGCTGTAGACTCACAAAAAAACCACCTCCAGCTAGTTCAGAAAGTGCAGTGCCTCAACACATAGATGTGGCTGTCTGTTTTGCTGTTGATTCAATGAGTTGACCCCCTCTGAAATTATACATCTTGAATCTTACAAATACATAATTATTAATGAATGTTTTATGAAAAGGCTGTAACTAATACAAGGTTTTGGATCCCGTAAGGTAAGTTACAGTAACTATGTATAAATGTATCCACAGTAAAAATTCAAATCTGGAATTTCTACATTGCTTGTAAATATAGATCCAGATAAACAAGCACAGTACCTTTTTTTTGGTGAGGATATTATCTGCAGTTATTCTTGTGAGACCTAAGCCGAGTTAACTCATTATTTGAAGATGTTAGAGGAGAATGTGAACTTTTCAATTAATTGCATAGTATTACCCAGGTGGTATTCAATCCAATATATTTCCTGTGAATGTTTTGGTCATTATTATCTCAGATCACAAACAGCTTAGGGGGGTTTGAAATCATGAAATCCTGTCAACTTTAAAAGCAACTTGTATGAAGTGAAACTTTCCACTGAAGGCAAGACACACTACAGCAAGAAGGCAAGAGGCATGGAGTTCAGAGTAGTAGGTGTCTCTGTAGGGCTGCTGTGAGACTTCTGTCTACAAAAGGACAAACTGGGGTGTTGCTCCATACTCAGAACTGTGTGTTCATTTACATTAGCAATCAGGAAATTAAAAAGCGGAAATACTTGTAAGCTATGATTATCAGAATTACACAAGCCTAGAGCCAATTAACATCTCCTGAAAAACAGAAGCAGTAGATACCTGCATTTCAGTCCAAACATTTCATACAACTACTAATTTTTACTTTATCATTCATCTTAATAATTTTGGTTGCATTTAGGAGGTCAATTAAAATCAAGAAACTAAGTATAAACAGAACATTAATTTATGTATAATAGCAGAACAAACAGAGAGAGGAGAAATGGATGCTTTTGATGTAGGTAAGAAAATTTCACCCTTTCAAGACTGGCCAGTGAGCTAACAAGAAAAAAATCACAACATTTTCTAACATAATTTTAATGTTGTATTTTTTATAACCAACTTCAAATTTTTTCTATTTATTGATTACCTAAATGAGTGATTTTCTAGACACGTAAGAATTATAGCTTTCAGAATACAATTCATTATTAAATATAATAGACAATTTTCTATTTAAAAAATGACATTAAAAGACACTAAAAACACTTTTTTTTTTTTTTTGTCTAGCGAAGAATGCCTTTAAAAAAATCCAAACTGCTCAGGTTCTGTAAAAGGAGAATGAAAAATAGGCACCAAAATTACTGTGATCCTAACTAATTATATATTGCCAGATACTGTTTCAACACACTGAGTATAGATTTTGCTCAAGAGAAGTGTCCAAAAGTGTAATTTATTACTTTCTGCATTAGGAGTTCAAATTCCCTAGGAAATGAAAATGGTTAAGATAGGCAATTTCACTTCAATCTATTCCTTCTGTATTAACAAAGCCATTAGATAGCAGAAAGAACATATGCTTAATGACACTAGTGCAGTAATTCTCTCTAATAACATTTTTAAAGCTGCTGGTCTTCTTTTAAAATTCTGTTTTGCTTTTAAATACTCAAAGAAAATGTTTTTGGATATTAATTGCTGTCAATGAAAACTTGTAAAGTTTGAAAAGAGGCAATGCTCATCTTGAATTTTTACAGATCCATTCTGTTACTTTAGCATAAGCAAGTTTATTTTAACAGGAAAGACGTGTGTAGTAAGCTGTTCAAATTGATTGTTATAGCAAAGCCTTCAAACTACAGTCTGCAGAGTCTAGACAAAATTGGTAAATGAACTGTGATAGGTACCATCACTTCCAGCTACAAAACATTTTCATGCCTGTGGCTGTGTCATGTGAAATACTTTCTCAGGTAAGTCAGTTAAAATGTTTGATAGGACCACATCTCTTTATTACAAAACAAAACAAAACAAAACAAAACAAAACAAAACAAAACAAAACAAAACAAAACAAAACAAAACAAAACAAAACAAAACAAAACAAAACAAAACAAAACAAAACAAAACAAAACAAAACAAAACAAAACAAAACAAAACAAAACAAAAAACTTGCTTTTATAAAGGCTTATTGAATGGGAACTGCTGAATCATGGCCTGAACCTCTGATTGATCACCTGAGGCGAGCCATGAGTCAGCCAGAGGAGCACAGCTGAAGGCAATTCACCTGTGCTGCTGGAAGGGGTGGAGCCTGGCTGCACCCCTCCTAGACCTATTTAAGAGCTGGCTACCAGTGGAGAAGGATCTCTTCTGGAGATGTGCTTTGCTGGAGTTTCATAAGTGAGCTCAGGGTACAGGTAAGTGTCTTTTCTGCTTTGGTGTAATAGCTAATAGCCAAGCTCTCTGGTATACCTTGTAACTATAATGTCTGTACATTCATTGATTATACACTTATCTACATACACTTATCTATATCTTCTTTCATTAAAATACAGTTGAACTTGCACTGATTCAATGAAGCTTAATAGATGCTGTTAGATATGCATTTTGTCCCACTTTAAAAAGTATTATGTCTTTAAGAAACAGCTTATGAGATATCTGTTTTTAAAAGTATAAAGAAATTTATTTGCACCCACATTCTGTGTGCTTTTTTTCTCCTAAGTTAAGGTTGGCTGGAGTTATTACCTACTTGTTTGATAATGTTCCATGTCTGCAATGCATATACTTTGGGAAGAATATCACACAGATCTGAAAATCTCTGAAAATACTAGTTTGAATTTTCTTTAGGAAGTTAGTACAATTTCCTATTCTGGTGGGCAGAATGCAAATAGGAAAGACTTCCTACTAGTATATTTTCTCTTCTTTTTTCCACTCTGTTTTCTCCACATGTGCACTACTGGTAAATTATTATGAAGCGATGTATATTCAAGGGTTTGAGTTTAGTGTGTATTATATATAGGAAATACTATAGCATAGACAATATGAGACTGTTCTAAAGTTTGCTTTTATCATAGATGCTGCCAATAGTTTATCAATGAAGTGTTTTAATGCATACAGAACATCTCTGGCCTCATCATTAAAGCTACAGTTCTCAAGTATACTTCATATCATGACTGGTGAAAAAAAGCACCTACAAAATGTTACTAGGAAGATGGCTGGAGCTTTACTAGATAGATAGATAGACAGATATGCAGTTAAGTTCTGTGATGACACTCCTAAGCTATCTGTGAACAAAATGGTAAGCTTTGGCACTTTGTTAACTATGCATTGATTACATTAGTGATATCTAAATTCAGAAAGTGAGTGAATAATTCTGTCTATTCTCTCTGTTATGTGCCAAATCAAATAATACAAGTCAAAACAAATATTGCATGTTTTCAGTTGGTATTATGTGCAATAATGGAAGTACATGAATACAGGGTGGAAAGTTGGCAGGTGATAATAATTTGCCCCCTTTAGTATGAGAAGAGTACTGCATCTGCCAGGACTATGGAATCACTTTCTGTCTCTTGCATGGATAAAAATTGAGCTCTGCTGGCTTAGGAGATGCTCTTCGTTAAAGTGTGATTGAAGTACTTTGGTAGCAGCTGCTGCAAGCTGTGCTTTGTTGATGCTAAGCTAGGAGTTGGTTTTTTTGTTTGTTTTTTTGCTGAGGATTTTTTGGTATACTGAGGCTCTTAGGTCTCTATTCTTTCTGTGTAACATTTGCAAATTAATGAAAATGTTTTTGTTCAGGGTTATTTAATTTCTGCAGAGTTGATGAATTTGTCTCTTCTTGTTACTTTTACTTTGACAAATGGAATTTTTGTTTATCACACAAACTATCTTGGCTGCTCCATATTTACGTTTACTGACAGTGATACTATGTCAGCTACTCTAATTCAGTTATTGCTTATGTTGGTTTTTTTTTGGGTTCTTTCTATGTTCAGTGAGTTGGTTCCCTAACCTGAATTTAGGAAGGGGTGAAACTTAATCTTATGGCTTAGCACTTAAATATTAAAAAATAAAAAGTCCAAAATAATTTGAGTAATGTAGGGATCACTTGAAGAATCATGAAGTATCAGGATACTAAGACTTCAGTGCAGTAGGAGCATTTGAAAACAGTATTAAGAATTAGTAATAATTGCTTTTTTCCTCTATTCTAGTGCAGAAAAGGCCACGAGCGTCTGTTCAAATATGTATTATTTGTTGGCAAATTTTTGTTTTTTTGAGCAACAATTTCTAGTCTGAAATAAAAAATAAAAAAAACAGGAAAAAGAAAAAAGACAGTTGAAGGTCTGACACACTTCTATGTTGAACTGTGGAGAGAGAGGGAAGCCGTAATCATGTATCAGAGTGTAATAGATAGGGAATGCTCCCAGTATGATTTTCAGGTTCTTCTCAGTGTTTTTGAACACTGTGAATTCAATCACTGTGAATAGGGTGTGCCTGGAAGAAAGCCTTGTATGATGTCTTAAAAGTTAACATGAACTAAATGCTCTGTGCTATAATATCTATAGGTCTTCATTAGCAGTTTAAGTCAATTTGTATGTTGATTAACAGAGGGAGCAGCAAAATTGTACTTCTGCAATCCATTACTGATTGTTTGTTAGCTCATTAGCTAACTTATGAACAGTTTTCTTCTGTTAGTGAAACCATTATTCAAAATTGTCTTATAGCACTGCAAGTTCAAGCACTTAAATGCACATGCATTTATTTGGATTTATTTATTTACCTATTTTATCATATTAGATTTTTTGCTTTTATCATTAACTCCATGGTTGTGTTTGTCAACACCAAGAGAACAAATTCTTTTCACTCAGTTACACTGCTAATATTTCTAATTTTTTCTAAATACATGCAGATTGTGTTACTTATGGTTCACAGTTTTATTCCATTTGAAAACATTTTTTATTTCTCCAAAGTATTTAGAAATGGTCAGCTATCTTAAGAAATGAGATGTCTGGGATAGTTCACATTGGTAGTATTTTCCAACAATGTTATTATTTTAGCTTCAAGGGAAAACAACTCTCATGTTTAATAAAGCAAAGATCATACTATACTGCATGTGAAGTGTGAGCATGAAGAAAAAATATACAGGCTTTAGGCTACAAGAGGAAAAGGAAAAAGACATTGGAAGTATATGGTGTTACTACATGCTTATGATAAAGAGAAGGTTTTTATTACACTTTCTATAGAAAATGTTGATGTATTTCTAATAGTAGCAATCATTAGGGAGCAAGCATTCTCATAATTGTTCATCTCAGTTTCAGGAAAAGCACTAGAGCAACTTGACTTTGACTGGACTAAAATATTGGTGTAAGTGTTGTTAAATAATATTATATTAAACCCCTTCATCTTCTACATTTATACTTTAGAAAGTCATGTTTTCTTTTATATGGCATATGAGGAAAGAAACTGTTAGCATTGTCTGAGAAGTCTTTCCTACAACTCCAGTCAACTGAAAATTAATGAATTACAACTTAGTTGTACGTTATTACCACTATGACAACTAAGCAAACACAGAACTTAAATTATAGTTGTGAAAAGATTGATGCTTCCTTATATTCACTAGTTTATAACTTTTAAGGAGAGAAATCCTTATGTATCAGCAGAAGTTAAAAGGAGTTAAAACATATGGGTGAAATAAAGCCTAATCCAGTCTTCTGTTTTTCTATTTTGAGCTTAGAGTTGGTAAGACAGAAGTTGTTAGTGACAACACTGTTTGATTGAATTCTGATGTCACAATTCTCATTCTTTGAAAATGCTATAATAATTTTGATATCTATGGTAAATAATAATTTGTTTTGACTGTAAGGCCTTTGTTCTTACAATAAAATTTACCCAAATAATTTTAAACTGCTTACAGTAAGGTAATTCTTCTGTGGTAACTAAGACCAAACATATAAGCAGGGTGAAATGGAACTTTAAACATAATAATTTGATTTTTTTACTAATGAGTTGCATTTGTTTATTACAGTATTTTATCTATTCAGAGAGGTACTGACCTCTTTCCCACAGTGGTTCAGCTGTCACTGTTGGATAAGAGTTCGAATTTTGCTTTAATACACAAATCCCTCATAAGGTTCTCATTACAACCTTGGACATATTTATTTTCTCTCCTGGTGAAGTACACCTGTGGGCTTCATGTTTGCAGCTGCCTGACATAGTCATCGAAATATGCCACCCTGTCTCTACCAGCCTGAAAACAGAAGCAGTGTGTTCATGCTGGACTCTTCAGTAGTCCTGTATACACCTTCTGTGACTCAGCCAAAGATGAAGTTCACGTATAAGAACATCTCAGGTCTGGTTGGTTTTCTTGGTGCTTTTTGTTGTTGTTGTTTTTCTGTAAGTGAGTAGCACCAAAATGCTTCTCTTAAGTGTTCTTATGTGTATTCTAGATGTGTATTGTCTGGAAGAAGACTGACAAGATTATAACTCAGAGGTGTCAAGCAGTACCACCATTATACCTCCATTCACTTCTTGTTAATTCTGCTACACTGGCTGTCAGACTTAAACCATTTCTTACACAGAGAGCAATGAGACAGAATGGGAGTAAGGATTACAGGGACTGAAGACTTGGAACAACTTTTTTCTGCATTTAAGAGGTTCTGGGCATAGAATATAGAACCTCATATGTAACCTCAAAATAATTGACATGTAAAAAAAAAAAAAAGGAAGCATTTTCATAACAACTACGTCAGTTTGTATCTAGTTAGGAAAGTGTCTGAAGTAGAATTAAGCACTAAGTTGTGTTGCTGAAAATAAAACCACAGCATCTTTGTTTAGTCTGCCTCAGTGAAACTAATATCAAGTTTTGCTTTGAGCAATGACATAATAGCAAGTTCCCTATTCTATGAGGACAGCAGCAAATCAAACTGATGTATCTACACTTGCGTCTTAAAATTGTGTGTATCCTGGTAGATAGTCATGCCTAAGGCTAGGTTAGCTCATTCATGGAGAAAGAACTTGGTTGTTGCTGCCTTGTGTGTAAAGAAGTCTCTGTGCTTATTCTATTTGTCCTTTATTGGGTAATAACCCTTGCCATGACAGCTATCCATCTATGCTGCTCACCTATGGTTTCAGTCCTGTGTACTCATATGCAGAAACACGGCAAATGCTACCACAGAACTCAGAATTTCACTCCACCTCATCCCTCTTACAAAGTTCCTTGCAAATGGGGAATTTTTGTCAACACCTTAGGATCTTTCTGTGAAATTATTTTTCTCCCCTTCTATAGCTTGAGATATGGTAAAAAAAAATTAGTCGTTCTCCAAATACAGAATAAATGAGTACATAGCTATTATAATGGTTTTTGTATTATGGTTATCTTGAAAAACATGCAAGTTCATCGGCGATATGTAGGTTTTTCTATATAGTAATAAAGGATGATGTTTTCCATTGAAGTGGCTTCAGTATGATAGGCTGGTTTCTTTTTTCTTTTCCATTTGGAATGAGTAAGAGTAAAAGTGGTTTCATTTTGACTTAATTTTTATTTAGCACTGACTCTTAAACTTAGACACTTTTTATGGAAGCCTATTTATCTACTCAAATCAGGAGAACTTCTGTTTTCATAACAAACAAACAGTTTTTTCCATGATTTGAATAATGAAAGAGTGCTAAAAGAATTTTTTTTGAGTGGTATGTTTGGCTTTGTCATGCTGGCATTATGTTACAATGCCCTCTGTGCTGTACTTTAGATGCCTAACAACAATTTTGTCTTATATTCAAAAATACCCAGCAGGACTGTTCCATGAAAAATATAGAGGCTGTTTTTTTGTGTGCTTGCATTCAAAACTAGCTTCATTTTACAGATAAGGAGACAAAGTAAGATCTGTCAGGATTGGAAAATGAATCCAGGTTTGAGCTATAATCCTTTTAGTTGATCCTCTGAGTAAGACTGACTTAATTTATAAGGCATGTGAATAATTAGTAAGGTATCTGTTTGCTTCTGATACCTTTAAAATATCTTTTTATAGTGAGTAATCCAGGTGAAAAGAAATATTCAAAGGGGGGGGAAAAAAAGCATTAATTTTAGGGATTTGGATATTGCTGTTCCAGAGATGTAATTTTCTAATGCATTTAGACCTGAAAATTACTAGTCATTCCAATACCTATTACTGGTTTATCTGACATAAATGGAGATTTTACTGCATCCTCCGTTATGTTTTGCTGTACGTGTAACTCTGTAGATTGTTAATTTTTACACTTATTTCAGAATTCAATCTCTTCGAAAGTATGTGATAATGCACAATTATAACAATGTTCTCATTTTGAATCAGCATGTTGCAGGCAGTTATGGCAACAAGTTGTCTTGCAATGTGTTGTCTGTCAGCGAAGTTGAGTTATGATTAATAACTGTGCTGCTTTTTCTTATTGCTTTCTGAAATAGCTCAAAAAAATTTTGAGCTCTAAAACCAAAGGATGGTTTTTGGTCCAGGCAGTTCAATGCAAGTTAAAACTAAAACCCTGCATGTCTATCTTAAAAACAAAACAGATGTGGTTAATCTCAGGGCCTGTGTCATTAGTAACTATGGAAAAACTCTTTCACTGAATATCTTTCATCCTACAGATGCTAAACACTACAATACATGCCTATGTTTTTATTAGCTGTATAAAATGCTAGTGAATTCCCATAGCAAGAAGTAGTTACAGAGGAAATTCTCTCTTTCAATGTTAAGTTTATAGATACTGTTTTTTTAACTCGGAAAGCGCTCTGATAGAGTGGTAACAAAGTTGTTTTTTTTTTTTCTTGCTGGATAGTGATACAGCTTATGCTGTGTGTTTCTAAGACACACAGGCATACTTAGAGAAACAAATGCTGAATCCCCCTTTAGTATCAAATAAGTTTTCAAATAATTCATATTGCCTACTCTGAAATGACTAGGGATTGCCATGTAGACCCCTAGGTCAGTAATTGATGGACACTATTAGGTCTTCTCTTCAGGAAGCTACATCAGTACTTATTCCTTAGGCAATATTCTGATGCCTTTGCATTTGTATTTGACAGTTTTGCAAAACTACAAACAATGTAGTTCATGCTATGTCTTAAGATCTGTTGTCTGTCTCATACTGTCAGTTGTAAGGGATTTTTGAAATGTTGGCAGTGTTTTGGAGATGGAATTGCTTTGAGCAAAAGTTCCTTCTGATTTTTTTTTTATACTGTTTCTCAAGGTCATGAATATTGGATACCTGATGTTGGAAAGGTTGTACCAGAACATTATTTCTATATGATTCCTAATTTGTCAACAGTATTGGTCAAGGAATATATCACCACTATATTTCTTAGTTAATAGTGGAAAAAACATCTAATATATGCCATTTGGGAGATAGCTGAATTATACAATATTTGGACAAAACAGGCCATTGGGTAAGGCTAATAGGTAGATGAGACTCATCAACTGTTAAGATAAAGGACTAGGACTCTTCCTGAGAAAGAAAATGCATTATCTTCTACTTAGAACATAGTACTTCTGTGTTTGCTCACGTCCTTCCCAGATCACCAAATACTTTTAAACCAGTTAATTTTTGGCATTGTCTAGCCTAGACTATTTTTTCCCTGTGATTTTCAGGTTTGGCAATATTATTATACTATGTGGCAGATGATGCTCCATATCTCCTGTTATTGCTATCATGACATGAAAATCTACTGATAACAATTCACTGTGTATATGACTAAAGAAACAAAGTCAAACAAAACAATTTCCAGCAGTTATGCTGGTTATACAGTTATTTCCAGCTAGTTATGCTTTTAAGTATTCTTTAATTTGAAATGGTGTAGTTGCTATATAGCCACCACAAGCTTGCAGTCTCCTGTATTGATGAAGATGAAAAACAAATCAAACATCATGATACACATGTCAAAGTCTTTTTACCTTTGCTAGTCAGTGCCACGGGAGAATGAAGGCTTGATAAACCCTGACAGCTGAAGCTAGTACTAGCCTGACTGCTAGTTTACCAAAACTTGCCAGATTTTAAAGACTATTGTAAAGGTGTTTTTTATTTTGCCTTTGTTAAACTTGTTTCCTAGTTAAATTTATGTCCTACTTGCTCAATTCTGTCAGCCTTGTCCTGATCTCCCCACCTAATCTTTGCTATCCCAGTTTCTGACTTCAGCACAGTTCCTGGCAATATTTGCTGCATAGACCTTTGACTTAGCAGAATGAATTTCCTTCCTATTTCCTGACCTCACTTGCCCTGGCCATGGCAGCGACTTCCCATCTCCATTTCTGTTTCCATTTAGTCTGATACTTTGTGCCCTAATAGTATTAAATGTGCACATACGCCATTTAAAAGTAATTTATTCTATAGACCATCTTTCTCTTGTTAAAATAGGATTGAGAAGATGAAAAGATCTAACAGATTTTAAAGAATACAAGCCTGTAATTTCATTTCTGATTCAACACTGCAGTCACAACTTCTACCAATCAAAAAAAGAACTCATGTACAGTAGGTGGTTTAGGGCAGATCATCCATAATGAGAGTGACAATCTTTTCTATACATAGCTGTCATTCATAAAGCAGTCTTCATTGGGTAGGATTCAGAAGAAGCCTCAAAATGTACCTTATGGAGGAAAAAAATGCTTTTGCTAGAAACTGGTTTTTAGTTTTGTGACAGAGCTGAAAAAACCTGATGTGACAAGGCATTGTTGTGACTAATTGTGTGCCTTCAGGCTCATATGAAATAGGAATAACATGGAAGTTAACAATGCTGCCTTTTATGACAATAAGCCAGTTATTTTTTTCACTGTACCCTGAAGCTTCATGGATCAAGTCCTGTTAAGGACTACTTGGCATAAACTGGGAAAAAATGTTATGCATATTCCCTCTTGATCCTTACTTTCATGTTTATTTACAGTTTTCCCTGAAGCCAAAGGATGTGATATCCCTGAAAGGATCTCCAAAGTGCTTAAACCATAATGGGAGAGAAATGCAACAGAAGCAGACAATCCTAGTGGTCTGCCTTTGTTGCTGGCATATGTGAAAGTTAGACTGAAGCTGAGAGTAAGGATTCCTTTTCCATGTAATCATAGAATCATAGGATGGCTAAGGTTGGGAGGAACCTTAAAGATCATCCTGTTCTTACCCTCCTAGTTGCCACTTACTGGGTCAGGCTGCCTAGGGCCCTATCCAATGGGCATGAATGTTTCCAAGGATGGGGCACCTGCAACTTTTTTGGACAAATTTTTTCAGTACCTCACTACTCATACAGTTATGTTCTCTTATAAGCCGGGAAAAGCTGGAAAGTGGTCAAAGGCTAGGGCTATCTGCATTTGTGCTATCATTCTTA